GCCGCCCTACCCCACCCGCCCGAGATGCTGGAGCGGCCCTATCCTATCCGCCTCAGACGCTGGAGCCACCCTACTTATCACTCCCGAGATGCTGAAACTGCTCCGTCCCACCCGCCCGAGACGCCAAAGCCGCCCTAGCCCATCCAGCGGCCCGGCACCGGCGCCGAGCACAGATTGATGGATGGGGCAGTGCTAGAACGCCGTAAATAATACAAGCCCGCCGGCACCACCAGAGCAGCCGACTGAAGGTCAGCGCTAAACGGACGCCAGCATTGTCCAGAGCATGGCATCGGCGACGGACGGCTGGGGATCCGCCGTCGGGACAGGTTGTCCTGTCACTGCAGTGCCCCATGACAGGTGCCGCTGTCACTGCAGTGCCCCATGAACAAGTGCCCCTGCCACTGTAGTGCCCCATGACAAGTGCAGCTGCCACTCCTGAGCGCGATGACAGGTATCCCTGCCACTGCTGTGTCTATGACAGATGCCGTGCTCTTCCAGTGCCTAATGACAGGTGCCACTGCCACTCCAGTGCGCGGTGACAGGTGCCACTGCCACTCCAGTGCGCGGTGACAGGCATTGAGCAGGTGGCTGAGTGTCTGCCGCCCACCGTGATGTTCCAACAGACCAACCGGACGGTAGCTAGTGGGCGGCCTGAGTTGCTACGATACACAACACATGCCAAGCACTGGCATACCGACCACTCGTGGTATCATGTGGCGCTGAGTATAGTTAGTGGCATTCCAGCTTTCATCCGCAGGGTAGCTGATGTAAGATGGCCGCCTCCATGCATTTATATTATTTCTGGATGCTTCCTGGAGTGTTGACTGATAGCAGAAATAAATTATTGCTGTTATCCACTAACAAAATTTGTGTTAGCGTAACTGAGGTAGTTTATTAACACAACGATTAGGCATTATTTATTCATTTTACACCTAAAAACCTTTTACGGAATAGCATTTAACCCGCGCGGGGCTGGGGGGGTAAATTTTACCCACCCTCGCGAATTTTTGCAATAACTCAAAAACGGCGGCGCGCGGCGCCGCCAAACTTTCAGTACCTTTTCTTACATCAATTTGACACGTTTCCTGAAAATTTTAGCGAAATCCGTCGGAAAATGTTTGAGAAATTGACGTTTTAGTGACGTCATGTTCGCCATTTTCGCCTCAAAAACGGCAAAATTTCAAACGCCGCTAACATCTTCATTTTGAAAGGAATGAAGACGTAACAAAAAAGGTTATACGTATTTCTACTTTGTCTATCAAATGGCCATCTCGGTTTTTTGAAAATTTTGGATTTTGACCAACATTTTTTCAAAAAACTGACTTTTTTGGGAAAATAGTTATAAAATCCAAAATTTTGAGTGTATCGAAAAAACTGGAATATATGTCAGAGATGTAGTGTATGTGCACCTACAAACCAATTTTTAAAAGAATCGGTTCATAAATGTGGGAGTTATTAAAAATTTTATGACGTCACGACACACACAAATTTTGAAAAATGATTTTTTTGGAAGTTCTAGACTTCGTACGGAAACAAAAATAGCACCATTCGATTCGTCGTGAAAAACTGCATCAGATAGACACCTTTTTAGGCCTTAACAACCAACTTCAAAATTTGACCTCACTTGACCTGACCTTGACCTGACCTCGACCTGAAATTCATCTAAATGTGGTCCATACCACCTATTGAGTGTGCCTATTGAATTCTATGAATAAAATGACCCATAAAACATGTGTCGCACATGCCCTTTTCTATATTTTGTTTTTGGTGACCTGACCTGACCTGACCTGACCTTGACCTTGACCTCTGAATGACATTGTATGCAGCGAATATTGTCTTGGTAGCCTAAGAACACGTTTTGGGCAATCAGTCTCAGTCCATTCTTCGGCAACTACGGTGCAAGGCCGATACTGTAGAAACTTGCAATTTGTACCCTTGACCTGACCTTGACTTTGACCTCAAGGCTCAAACTTGAAAATAAGTACATGTTTTTAGTTGTTCGTGATGAGATCTTTCGAGTGGTGTTTGAATTTTCCAAATCGGACCATTAGTTCGGGAGATAACAGGGGGGGGGGGTAAAATTTACCCACCCCCAGCCCCGCGTGTTCGGCTGGAGATCCCAGCCCCGCGCGGGTTAAAGGTATGATAATGCATTTCCCGAAATATTTCGTCAGAACTGACTTCAAGTCATCAGTTGACCCATACCTAACGGAACAAAAAGGTCACCTGCGGCTGCCGTTTTGTGTCGATTTTTTTTAGAATACGATACAATACATCGGCTTGCATGAGAATAAACAGATGTTAATTTATTTCTCCAAACTATCCTCTGTTTTCCTAAATTTCTTCCTCAGAAGCGACTCTATCCTACGGGCGCGGCGCTGTCAAACAGGGCGCCTGCTAGGTAGACTGTACCGCCGCGCCGATCGGTGCTCCGGGTCAGCCTACCTCTCAGGGGCCCCGTCCGAGTGGACCTGCCGCTAGCCCGCTGCACAGTGTGGCCAAACGCCAGATTAGCGCGAATTTAATCAAAAAACGAATTTTGGAATTTTGACTTTTTATAACTATCAGTCGATAGGAAATTGTCCAAAGTATGTCAATATCACAATATTTTGGTTCAATGTCTTCCTTTCGATGTCCAAAAAGCTAGCTAAAGTGGACATACGCAATGCCGGTCCCGGCTGTGCTGAAATCGTCGAAAACCCGCGTCATGCTTACAACACATTTTGGCGTAATTGTCGGAAAGGTTTGGAAATAATTGGAGTGGCATATGACTACTGAGCCTATATTTGATAGTATACCCGAATTCTATAGGTATCCTTGGACTAACCGATGAGTTATGCTCATTTGAAAATGACCTTTTCAAACATCCCCTGAAAACACTGTCCATCTTAAAAACGTAGAGATATAAGAAAATGGCCAAAAAACTCCACGCCAAATCTACCATGAGAAGATTTGCCACACTTTTCTGGACATGATCCATTCAAGAAACCCTGCCCCAACCTGCCCCCCGGCCTTTGGCTCAGCTTTGAACGTATCGGGTTGGCCCGCCCGGGGAGGTCCGGCTATAGGGTGGGCGCGGCGGCGGCTCCGTAACGTTACGCGAATGGCTCAACCGCTGTATTTCTGACTTGTTATATTGCAGAATACGGTTGCCAATGAATAAATATTGACAATTTTTCAACCTTCGCCCATATAGGGGGTGAGGGTGGGGTCGAAAGGACCCCTCTCGGTTTTTCGCAAAAAGCTCATGTAAAAAGCGGCCGATCGCGACGAAATTTTCAATACCCTCGAGTTTTATCAATTTTACACCTACCCATTAAATTTCACGACCCTGACCCCAATGACCTTTGACCTGTGACCTATTTCTCGAGACCATGTTTGGCCGGAAGCGCGATTGGGCGTATGTTTGCTTGCATTAGCCGCGCGTTTGCAGTCTTTTCGTGGTTTCAAGCGTCTAAACATGTGATATTATGATGTTGGTCCCATGCATTATGGTCGGTGTCAAGATCACTTGAAGGTCAGGTCAGTTCAATGACCTTTGATGACCTCGGTTCACCTTTTTTAGTTTTACATGCTTCCAGGCTAGTTTTTGGTCTTTGGAGCTGATTTCGAATTTAGTATAACCATTTGAACATTTAGGAAGAAGTTTTGGTGCCTTCGTAACATGCAACGAAGCTGTCACTGGCGGTTGACACCTATTAATTATGAATACTCGGCAGGACTGGTTGGCCTGACCTGACCTGACCCGACCTACGTTCGCGGCTACCAAAACACCAATACGGGCGAGGGTTAATGACATGAAGGTGCTTATGGTGTAAGTCTTTGTTTTTACTCCCATTGCTGAGGTTCAGTCCTATCGGTGCGTGTATTTCAGCAACCATCTACCGATTCATGTGCTTCACCAGGAACATTCCCACAGAAACATAATTAGATGTTGATTTTTTTTTCAAGCAAACTTTGGACAATCATAAGAATTTACCAGAGAAATGATGGGAATTTCGTAAACGATTCCTCCTCCTAACATGCCCATCATTGCTGGGACCCACAATTTTATGCCTCTTAGTTGCGGTTAAATTCCAGGATTTCGTAATCAGAGTCGGAGTCGTTCGGAGTCAACAGTTCTGACCCTGCAGTCAGAGTCGGAATCGAAATCGATTTTGGAATCCGGACCAAGACTCGTAGTCTGAGTCACCGAAAATCCATCGACTGCGTGGACTTGCCATGGCTGCGGAGTCAGAGTCCGAGTCGATCGTATAAGTCGACAGTTTTGCCCGGAGTCAGAGTTGAAATTGACTTTTGAAAGCCGTAGTCGGAGTCGGAGTAACTCCATCGACTTCACAGCCCTGGCCTGGTAAGCACATCACCCGTCGTAAGCTAGTCCTCCTTACTTTTAGAGGCGAAACTATGCCATTATATGCCAGCAAGCATTTATAATGCATCGTAAAAGGTCTCACATAGGTTTAAGTGTCAATTTTGAAACCAGGGAACCACTTTCAACGGATCCGAGCAGCGCTGGGATTTAATTCGCGCTAAACTGGTGTTTGGCCACACTGTGCGCTGGCCGAGCGGACCCGGATACACTTTACGTCTTTACAGTGACTCCGCAGCGATACACGGCGAGGTCCCGGCGCTGCCGTCGATGGCTTGTCGCTCCCACGTCAATATTGCAGCGTCTAATGAGCCCGGCAGATCGATTGTCGTCCCGGTCCCGTGTCGGCCGCATGGATTTATTGAGTCAACAGCTCTCTCCGGGCCGGTACGGCCGGCGCGGCGGAGCACGGCTTGGAACGGGCACCGCGGAACTGAACGTGATTTCGGGGAAATGTTTGTGCCTGCTGTCTGCAGGTGTCTAACGTGAGCGGTGTGCCTGATGTCCGAATGTTTATTACGACGGCCGTGTGTCGGCTGTCTGCACGTATCTGACATTAGCCGTGAATCTGCTGTCTGAAGCCGTGTGTCTGCTGTCTCCAGATGTCTGACATTGAGCTGTGTGTCTGCAGGTGTCCGACATTGAGCAGACGCGGCCGGACCTGCTGCGTGGCGGAGGCTCTCAGGAAACAGAGCTCACCAATGTCGACTCGTTCAACTCGTCGACCGAGTTTGGCTCGGCCAGCGTGAACGCCATCACGGCCGCCAACGGTTCCGTGACGCCCGCCATCCAGACGCCAAACGTGAGTGATACATACCATACCTTCATACCTACCGGCCGCCAATGGCTCCGTGACGCCCGCCATACAGACGCCAAACGTGAGTGATACATACCATACCTTCATACCTACCGGCCGCCAACGGCTCCGTGACGCCCGCCATACAGACGCCAAACGTGAGTGATACATACCATACCTTCATACCTACCGGCCGCCAACGGCTCCGTGACGCCCGCCATCCAGACGCCAAACGTGAGTGATACATACCATACCTTCATACCTACCGGCCGCCAACGGCTCCGTGACGCCCACTATACAGACGCCAAACGTGAGTGATGCATTCCATACTATACCATACCTATATACCTACCGACCGCCAACGGCTCCGTGACGCCCGCCATACAGACGCCAAACGTGAGTGATATACGGTATACTTACACAGTACCTACCCTACCGGCCGTCAATGGCTCCGTGACGCCCGCCATACAGACGCCAAACGTGAGTGATGCATACCATACCTTCATACCTACCGGCCGCCAACGGCTCCGTGACGCCCGCCATACAGACGCCAAACGTGAGTGATACATACCATACGGTTCATACTTACCGGCCGCCAACGGCTCCGTGACGCCCGCCATCCAGACGCCAAACGTGAGTGATACATACCATACCTTCATACCTACCGACCGCCAACGGCTCCGTGACGCCCGCCATCCAGACGCCAAACGTGAGTGATACATACCATACCTTCATACCTACCGGCCGCCAACGGCTCCGTGACGCCCGCTATACAGACGCCAAACGTGAGTGATGCATTCCATACTATACCATACCTACCGGCCGCCAACGGCTCCGTGACGCCCGCCATACAGACGCCAAACGTGAGTGATACGTACGGGCCGCCATCCAGACGCCCAACGTGAGTGATACATACCGGCCACCATACAGACGCCCAACGTGAGTGATACATACCATTCCTACAATCTAGTTACATACCTTCCGGCCGCCAACGGCTCAGTGACGCCCGCCATACAGACTCCAAACGTGAGTGACACCCCCATACCGACGCCAAACGTGAGTAATGCGTACCGGTCGCCATACAAACGCCAAACGTGAGTGATACATACTGGCCGCCATACAGACGTCAAACGTCAGTGGCACATACCGGTCGTCGGCGGCACTTCTCACCTCATGGAATTAACTAATATTTATGTGTGAATTTCCAACCACATTGACCGCGGCAGTGCGCTTAGGCTGTCTGAGCCGCTTGTCGTAATGAACTGAGGAAATGTGTCTCCTCCTCCTTTGCTGAGCTGCTGCACACATCTGATGAGGCTCGCTGCGCTTTCCAGCGTCTCTGCTGAACTATTCTCCTAATTTTCATTTTCCATCACTGAAGGTGCTCGCTGAGCGATCAAAGTTGGTTTCTATTCGGGAGCGGAAACTATCAGGTCGCCAGAGTCCGTTGGAGTGTCATTTATAAGACTTAAAATGAGTGACCAGCAAGACGAGGATACCTAATTTATAATTATGTAGTCTGGTCTGGCTATGCAACGCGTTAGTGGGTTAGGTTAGGGCAGGGCGACATTTTTAGAAATCTTATCTCAAACCATGCAATCACGATCACATTGCTGTCGCTTTCCCCATTCTAAGTCAGATGATGGCCTCTGCATGAAAAATCATGGTGGTCTATGATTTTATTCGATTTCTACACACACAAAAAAAAATTGCATGTCGACTGGACAAAAAACATAGGTGCACAACGATTTAGGTTATTTCAATTTGTCACCTTTTTTCATTAATTAGGTAACATCTCTATTCAGGCAATATATATGACCTTTCTTTACTCATCCGTTTGTTATATTTATTCTAAGCTTTTTCACCCATATATCTGTTTATTTGATAATTAATGTATTGATCGGCTCAGCACGGCTCGTTTCCCACATTGCTGCGTTCCCTCACATCACATCAGCGCTCGCCCGGACGAGCCGCTCTGTTCCCATATTCCCGGCGTGGCGTATTCTCCGTGCCCTTGGGGAATTATTGGCCGTGAGCGGTGGCCGGGTGCTGTAATCAGAGTGTCGCTCGGCGGACCGGGGGCGGGGGCGGGGTCGGGGGTTCGTTCCCGACCGCGGCCGTCGGCCCGCCGGCGCCCGACCGATAGATCAGCGGGGCCACCGGCCGTCGGAGCCTCCGGCGGCCTGTCTTCTCCGATGGCGCCGTCGTTCCAGTCGGTCGGTCCGGGTCAGGGACAGCCCTCTCCGATCAGTCGGGGGCGACTGCTATCGATTCTCCTGGAGGCGCCCCTCCCCACCGGGCCTTCCGGAGCCGGCGGCGGCGCGACCGGCTGAGTTATTGCCCGTGTCTGAGGCGGCCTGTTGTGGGCACCGAGTGGCAGCCGACTCAGTGATGGGGTGCCGAACAATGCACTCCCAGGCGCCATTGTTGCCAGCTGAGACCATTAGCTGACGTGAGTGAAGGCTACAGGATATGCCGTGCCATATGCGTGCCTGCCGATATAATTAAGTTTATTCATTTGCTGCAAGATAAATTGACAGGCAATTGCTCTTATATGTAGGTATCCATTACGGCAGAATTCCGACAACAAGTTTTTTTTAGCAGGCATTGTCAACATGTGACTGTATGTTCCGCCGCAGAACAAGTCTAGCTGAGATGCGAGCAAATACCGTGACATCTGTTCTCAGCGTCCTTGTCACTAATTGTCATTTACCCGGTGCCAGAACATCCCACCGCGCAGAACGCCGAGTGACGGGATCAGCCTTTTTACATCCTGTCCAGCGCCCTCTATTTTTAGGCTTCTGTTAGCTATTGGTTCACCTAGCAAGAAGTGGAAAGCGGCTTTTAAAAGCTCGCCAAAAAAATGTAATGGAAGACTTTAGAGCACTATCAATTTGAAATCATATGTCAGTCTAGCATCACAGCATGAACTCATGGGTCCTTGTAACTCTTTGAGAGATGTTATCGGTGGTTTTGCTTATTCACCTGACCTGACTGTGTGCAAGTGTGTGTATGTGGAGAGGTAGGAGATTCCGGTCCAGTCGGCACTCCGGCCTGCGTTGAAGCCCACCTGTCCCTCCCTGTGAAAGTGCTGGCCGCCTGCCACCTGGCCCGCTGCCCATGCGGACGGCGATCCTTCCAGACTTGCAGCGCACGTGTGTGAGCGCTGGTCCGACTCACTCATTTCCTGCTAAACTTAGGTTTAATTCATCTCACGCCATGCAGTCTGCACCGAACACGCTGCCATCTGACTTCAATGATATTTTGGACCAGACGTCAATTTGTAACATGTGATTAAGACAAGTTGTATTTTATCTCCCTTCAGTCACTGAATTTCTCCCACCTTTTTGCTGGACTCATTTCCCTCTTGTCATAGTCTCCCGCTAGCAGGTCAAGGGTGTTGTCTGACCCTGTCGTCGCCTGAGTGACTCCCAACTCATGTACCGTTACTCAGCTATTCATAGAACAAAATCCACCAGGTAGCCTGCAGATTAGGGCCCCGTTTTTACACGTGCCTTGTGTGACGCAATCCCGGGCCTGCTTAGGGTGTCAATTAGTTTGGCACCTTCTCAATCAGTATTTTTCCCGGACTTATTGTTAAAAATGCATGATGGTGGTAATCAGACGTTTTAGTGAGTCATTATAGAAGAATCCACCCATTTTAAAGCTACGGTAGTGATAGCAATTTGAGAAAGTCACGCACGACGGGCTGACATTAATTGTATTTTCTTGGAGATCTACCAGCCTCAGGTAGACCCGCTTATCACCAAGGATTGCACGCAAGTGGTATTATTTTCAGATATTGTAAAAATCAGTTTAATATGCTTTATCATGAGACGTTTTCACAAGCATACCTACTCGTAGCTCACATGCATGTCTGTTATCTCTGTAAATTGGGACGGCACCACTATGCATCTATGGTAGACAGCTTCAAGAGGCTGCGGGTAAGCGCTGGGGCTACCTTCGCCGTGCGCCCTTACGAAATTTGGCATCATGAAAACTCTCGTGACCATTAGTCACAGAACAGGGCTGCTTTCACAACGCGAGAATTCATTGAGCTTTAGGCAGCTTGTTAGCCAAAAGCTGGTGCATCATGTTCCAACATAAATACTGTCGGTTTGTTATTGTACCATCTGCTATCTCAGGCGGTCAGCCGCATCAAAATTCAAATCCTATCCTCGTTTTTAGACCTACACTTACGGCGCGCGCTTGATGTCTATGTAGTTCGCTGAGGTGTTAATAAAACGACAAATCGAATCCATCAGAAATGTCAGTTTCATTGGCGTTCTTTTCTTCCCCATAGGTCATCTATCGATGCAGCTCCAAATCAATTTCAACTGTGAGCTCACAGTTAAACGTCTCGAAAACTCGTTTACAGAGAAGGAAGGGTTTGTTAGCTCATACATACATAGTGACATCGCTATTAATTTTAATGGCTTCGCCCATTGTCCACCCGGAGCCATTTCTAGCCCTAGTCCCTGTCTCATAAGGCGCACTATATATGTCTACCGCGCATTGTCATACGGCACTAATATTGCGTGTTACGTAACGCCATCGCTCCATTCTCCATAATGGAAAATTACCAGAAAGGGATCAGCTCCCACGCCTCTGGACGGGGATCGGCCTGACCCGTCCGCTCGCGGAGCACGCGACAGCGGCTGTCGGCTCAGCCCGTCACAGAACTCCCCGACTCAATGGCAGGAGCGGACGGCACGTGCGCCGGCGCCGAGCTTACATCCTGGTGGAACGTGCTGCGGGCAACTGCAATTAAGCTCCATTGACCGGCGGAATGTCTCCGTCTCCTTCACAGTTCGCGATTTTCCCCTCTCCCGATTCCCGTCACTCGGCTCTCATCTCCCGTCCTCCGTCCCTCATCCTTCTTCCTTCGTCCAGCTCGTCCTTCGTCCTTGGTTCCTCGTCATTTGTCCCTCGTTCCCTGTCCCTTGCCCCTTGTCCATCATTCCTCGCCTCTCATCCCTTATCACTTATCTCATTCATTCACCGTTCCTTGTCATTTGTGCCCGTCCCCCCCCCCCCCAATGCTCCCATATCTCCTACATTCTCATTCCCCGTTCCCTGTCTTGTTGTTCCCATGGGTCCGCCCTCATAGCTCCTTGTTCCCTCCTCTGCCAATACACTGAATACATACTGAATCAAAATTGTCCTTTTGCGCAATATTCACATGAAAAATGTTTATGCCACGTGATTGTACTAAAAAAAGCTGGATAAAAAATACCTAAATGTTTCCAAAGCCCAAAGCCGTTGGCGATTCATTTGGATTAATAGGACGTCCTTTCGCACGAGACGCAGGCAGACTGCAAGACTTTTATTTCGGTGGACTGTGTAGCGTCCTGTCTCTAGTCACGTTCGATGTCAGCCCGCTAAGCTGAAACGTCACCCTTGGAAACAATAATGCTAATAAACATACTCGTCGACATAACTCGTGCCCGTCACAAAGAGTCGGCGTGGTGCCCGTGCCGTGACGGTCGGCCGTCACACGTGTCCGTGCCGTGACGGTCCAATGTCACCGTGACGTCACGAAAAATGTGGCTGCCGTGACGGGTGTCCGTCTGTCGCGCGCGGCCATCGACCAGCGCTGGTGGTGCGCGACGCACTGTTGACGGCTGCCGAGTCGCCGTGGGGATGGAAATGTTGAATGTCAAAGGGACACGGCTGATACGGTCAGGGAGGACAGTGGTATGCTGGGCAATGAAGTCGAGGCTTCCGACTGTGGAGCTGGAACCCCACAGCTGAAGTTTATCTAGTTATATCCAATATACCTAGTTAGTAGTTATGTGTAGTTCCAGAGCGATCTCCAACCCAGCAAATAAAACATCTCAAATTATCAACACATGTATGTACTTACATACCTATGGTTCCAACAGAGAAGGCTCTTTATGAACGTTAACAGCGGCCATGGTTTTCTAGGAATAGTTATGAATATCCTACGCTCACACTGCCTCCGTCCAGTGGATTTGTAAGTGTAAATGTGGTTTTCCTATGCACGTTGCAGGCTTCACGTGTCACCTGCAGAGGCTTTGCTCCAATTCAAAGGTTTCTTGGTTATAAGATAGTATTCCGCGCGCGTGGATATCGAATCGTTATCATGAACGTGAAAGTTATATCGAACAAGGGAAAGTCCGTATTAATCCAATATTTGCCCCCCCCCCCAATCTACGAGTGTTAGTCATTTAATGCAAGGAGGCACATGTCACATTTCACACCGCAGCCATCAGTTGTGTTGTTTTCTGCTTCGTTTTGTGGCAGAGGATGGTATGGAACACTGTGTGATGTATGGTTTCACGCGCACACCGTGCACATGTGCTCACGTGAATGCAGGTCCTTCTGGATGCAGCTCACATGCCATCGTCAGCTGGTGCGTTTGTCTTTCCAGCTCTCTCACTCTCCTCCCCTAGTTATCTGTCTCTCTCTTTCTCTTTCTCTCTCTCTCTCTCTCTCTCTCTCTCTCTCTCTCTCTCTCTCTCTCTCTCTCTCTCTCTCTCTCTTTCTCTCTCTCTCTCTCTCTCTCTCTCTCGCTCGCTCTCTCCCCGTCTGTGCACTGCCTCCATAGTGACGGTGCGCGGTCCACAGGCGTCCCTGGCTCTCTCTCTCTCTCTCTCTCTCTCTCTCTCTCTCTCTCTCTCTCTCTCTCTCTCTCTCTCTCTCTCTCTCTCTCTCTCTCTCTCCGTCTGTGCATTGCCTCCATAGTGACGGTGCGCGGTCCACAGGCGTCCCTGGCCCGTTCGCCCTCGGTCGGCAGCAGTTATCTGTCGGCCACGTGCGCCACCAGTCTGACGTCCACCGGGCAACTGGGCCCCGGTGGCGGTCCGCTGCCGCCGGCCGCCGCCGCCGCCGGCTCCTCCTCTCAGTCGGCACAGGTTTCTGATCTCGGTGTCTGTCTGTCCCCGCAATGTTTGTCCGTCTGTCCGTCTGTCCGCAGCTGTCGTCTGACGTACCCTCTCCGCCGCCTGACTGTTCACTGTGGTCCGCTGTAACATAGTAGAGCTTCTCTAATGATGTTTCCTCACTCCCACCCAGGCTAACGCTTGTTGTTTTTGTGGATGGTGGAACTTTACCCGCGCGGCTGACGTGTGTTGATTTTTCCTCTAACCTGCTGACGTTTGATGTTTTCTGTCATTTTCTGTTGTCAGTGTTCTGTTCTCTGGCGCAATACTCTTTTCCCCGCCTCATATCGCGGTCAGGAACTGTCCACCACTGCTCTCAATGTGACTGTGCTCCGCCGCCGATCCTGGCTACTCAGACCGAGTTCTCTCCCCGACTGCTGTGAATGTTGGAAGCACCGAGCCTCCCCAGCCCCAGCCGGCGTGCGCCGTCTGTTCGTGGTTTCAGCTGGCCGCCCACTCACCCTGGCTCATGCCAAACGAAACTCTGCCCAGACTGAGCCGCACAGAGCCGCGCTGACGAGTACAGGCCGTCGGTGTCGACACGTCGGGTCATGGGGTGCGCACCGAACCGCCGACCAACTACGCCGCTCGCTAGATTACACCGCTAACGTAAAGCCGATATCCAGGGAGCGAGGGTCTGTCGAATACGGCTACTTACTTGACTCGACTTTGCATAAGTGCCCATCGTCCGGCATAGCTGTAATAGCCGGTACCTAATGGCTCTCGTTATATCCCCGACAATGGCATGGGAATGTGACAAAAATTCCTCATTTTGCAATTTGTATAGCCGTTCTATGACCTTAAGTCCCATCGGGGTCACGTTTGTCGTCGAGGGCGGAGGCTCCCCTCCCCGGTCTAATGCTGGTCCGGTCTAATGCGGGGTCTGTGACCGTTTGGTCGGTCGGCCGGTCGCCATTTGCACGCGGCGAATGTCGCGCTGCCCGGTGTCAGGTCCATTTGTCACACAGACCCATCGATTCCGGGGGCGGCGACCAGTGACGCATGTATGGACGTAAACGCGTGTCTACGTGCGGCCGAGACCGATCGGCGCGCTGTCCGTACCCTGATGAGCGGTCACCCAGTGCTGGATCGGTACTGTGGCGATCGGTCACCGTCACAGCGCCACCGTAATTGGTGACGAGGCATTGGTGATCACCTGGTTACGGTGGCATCGGTAAAAACCCACCACACTGCCCACGACCACAGCACATGACAGGCTTGGTAACTAAGGTGCTGATGTCATTACACCCACACCCTGTCCCGTTATATTCTCCTTTGCAATGATTACATTCACTTGTCCGTATAATGGCCTTCGCTGTGTTTAGACGCGTTCAGTGTCACTACCGCTGTGTTATGTGCTATCGCTGGCATGTGCTGTAATGTTGTGTTGTGTTGTGTTGTGTTGTGTGATGTTGTGTTTTGTTGTGTTAAATGTTTGTTGTATGTTCCTGTGTGTTCCTGTGCAGCTCTCCCTTGTCACGTTTCGAGCTGTTCCTGCCCCCCCCCCTCGTTACCCATTCTGATGGGACCCGCGGGCTGCCCCCTGCGCTGTACAAGCTTTGTTGTCAGGCGCGGTGAGCTCACACTCCACACGCACAACCACAGCACTTTGTCGTCTGTACCTACCGGCCGGCCTATGTCTCTCTGCCTCTGTCATTCTCTGACTTTGTCTCTGTTGGTGGTTATGCACGTCTCTGCCTTACCGTGCTTTGCACTGGTCTCCTCTGTGCTTTGAGTCGTGGCTTTTGCTGTTGAGTGGTTTCCGCCACATGCGGGTGTCTATCTGTAGATTGAGGACAAAGGATTTCAGCGCCGATAACCAAAGGAAACCACTGATACAGTGGCTGCCGGTCGGATGGTCAAATAAAAGCTTTCATGGCCATGAAGGAACTCACCGAGAAGACTTATGCTTCCACACCTCGTTCTTTCAAATATTATCTCATGTAGCTGAGATAATTTTCAAGGCTCACTTATCAGTTATTAATTCCATACATTTTGATTGAACGAAATATCGCGTTTAAATACGTCAACGATTCAACACTATCCTAGCTTGGTTCTGAAGTTTCAGTAGTTTTGTCATTCTTAAGCCTAGACGAAGTCGTCCAGCTGTGATGTCTTATTTACTTAATCAAATAACAATCCTGAAATTTAGATGGTTTTTATTTGATTTGGATCTGACCTTGACTCAGTCAAACAGTAACAGCCGTCAACTTAACAGCAGTCAACTTTGTGAATTTCGATAATTGGTAAAGTAAGTTTCTGAAATCAGCTAGAAGGAAAATGATTGCAAGTATATTGAATCATTTTACGGCAATGCATCAACAGAACGCGTGAAAAATGAACCTGTATGTATTTAGGCAATGTTGTTAATTAATAAAAGCAAGTATCTTAAGTAAGTAAGTAAGTAAGTATCTTTATAGTAAGTAATAAGTGAGTAAGCATCTTTCTTCGACGCCATCTCGGACACTACATACTAGTTATGCAGCCGACACGAGAAGCGTTGTGGATAAGTTTACTGAACACCTTACGTAGTTCGACGCACAGACTGAGCGGATTCGAGTCCCCAAGGCATTGCTGTTTGCTCCGCGAGCTAAGACGGCCTGCGCCCGACGGGCGACGGCGAAGGTCAGCTTCAGTCGCTCGGCTACTCGATTCCAACCTCCAAATCGTCAGAGGGTGATCACCAACTTTCGCCGCTCAATTATGCCAATTGCTTGTAAAATTGAGCAATAAAAAGCTGGGATGATATTCCGTGCAACAAGCTCCATGACACGGAGCCAGTTTTCAGAATCCGATCCACTTTGGTTATTTTAATCAGCTCGACCAGTTTGGTCGATAAAGCGGGGTTCGCTTGTCGTTGCGAACTCGTTCAGCCTGGTTTGGTTCCAGGCTCCAGCGCTCTGGTGGGCTTGGGGTGCCCTTGGTCTGAGGCCTCTGTGGGACTGGGTTCCATCGTCAGCTCAGTCTCGATGGACTGTGAAAATGTGTGTGCTACTGCAGGGTAGAACACAAATGTGGGCATGTGTTCGACAAACAACAAAAAGTCAATAAATGTGTATTGTTCCTTATTTTTGCAGGTGTTCGCAAATACATAATTAGCAGGATAAGAAAAACAAATCATTCAATACTAGGCCGTTGATCGTCCCACTTGAGTCGTGTGAAAACCTCGTTAAAACTTCGCGGGGTGACTGACATCGCTTTGTAATGAGACAATAGCCAATTCAGCGGCCTGATGCATGCCGAGTTCCGGAATGAGTTTCGAATTTCCCCAGCACAACCTCCCGGCAGTAATTTTTCCTGGTGCGAAACTCGGACGCTTTATCTCCATAAAGTCAGTCATTTTTCAGTCTGAGCCGTGATAAAATAACTGATTAAACTCTTCCCACGTGGTGAGAGCTCTCATTTGTGACGGGCCGGGCGGCGGGTCGTGGCAGGGCCGCCCTGGCACGGGCGCCGCCGCCGACCTGACGACCGGTCGGGTTTGAGCCACTTTGAGCCGCCGCAGAACGGTCGATACCGACCAATGGCTACCCATTACGGGCCACTCAACGGGGCCGTTCGTCTCCCCTCCCGGACCGGCAAAAATACCCGACACAATGCCAATAGTAATTGGCGGGTGCGCCCGGCTAAGTGCTATTCTGGGGAGGAAACTGCAGGGCCGGCGCGGGGCGGATCCGGCTCACCTAGTGATGCCCTCGGGGTGGCGGGCAGAGCAGACGGAGCCTAAACGGATCCCGCAGGGTCGGCCGGTTACCCCGCGGCGGGCCGGGGGCGACTCTCCCCCGACCCGAGCCTCAGCCGCTCCCCAGTCGAGACTCGTATCTATCCCAGTCGCTCTCCCGGGACATCTGATAAACGTTCTGGCTACCCGGCCGCCCCCGCTGCCCGCTGCCCGGGCTGTTTTCGGCCGCTGTCGGCCCCCAAACAGCGCCCATCGCACACCCATCTACTGCCCGGTCACGAACACCGCTACCGGATTAGCGAGCCGCCCCGCAGCGGACGTCAATCTTTTCCGCCAGCCGAACCGTTAGAGCGCGGCGCGCAAACACGCGCCCCTCGCGGCCGGCCGAGATTGGGGTTTTCATGCTATTACAGGATATGCGCTTCGCGCTGGCTGGTTCGATTGGTGAATGACATAATAAGTTATTTATTCAATTGTTTTCAGGTTGAGCTCAACAAATGAGTCAGGTATGAGTCATTTGTCTGAAGCGCTAGGTCCCATGGTTATTCAAGGTCCTTGGACTCAACATTGACCTGGTCATTTTTCCATTAAAAGGTACCTACATACATTCGGCGTGTCGTGGCACAAATATTTGTTAGATCAATCATTTCGTTGCGTAACTTTTCCTCCAGATGCTATTCACCAAATACCAAGCTCCGAATTTTTATGTTGCAACTTACGGGCTTCTACATACGCATGACCTGGGGCAAACATGGCTGATTTATTTTCTAAAGCGTGGTAGTCTGACCTCTGAAAGCTCGTTCGGTAGGTGACATTTCTGTAAAGCATTCGATATCATTCGATCACCGCTGCGCAATGACCGCTGCCTACAGTAGGTAATCAGATTTATTTGCTGTTGCCACGTGCCAATGGACGTCGGTCGGACTTCACAGGTCAGCACGGGCTTGTCCCTGCAGCCTTAGCAAATAGGCACGTAAGACGTGCTGGGACCCAGTTGTCTTGTTTCACAACTGAGAGCCATAGTTAGGTATACCCGTCTGGTGTTGTAGCTAGCTCTGCCTGGCGCTGCAGCTCTGTGTCTAGGCTGCAGCTCTGTGTCTGGCGCTGCAGCTCTGTGTCTGTAGCCAGCTCTGTGCCTGTATTAGCTAGCTCTCTGCCTGGGCTGCAGCTCTGTGTCTGGGCTGCAGCTGTGTCTGGGCTGCAGCTCTGTGCCTGGGCTGCAGCTCTGTGTCTGGCGCTGCAGCTCTGTGTCTGGCGCCGCAGCTCTGTGCCTGGCGCTGCAGCTCTGTAT